ACATTTTAATGATACAGAATAACAAGGGTAGAGCATGAATCTCACTCTATCAGTATTATTATTATAATTATTATAAAGTTCTGCGTTGATCTCTCAAACTGAAACTCACTCTATGCTGTTCTCAATTGCATGTCAGATATTTTCACGGAATGGTGAGGAAATAAAATCTGATGCTTGCTAGTGACTTGTTACAGGATGGAGTTTCCTGGAATTCTAGTGAGAAGTCGTGACCAGTGAGGTCCATTCAGTCAGAAGTGAGGATAGAGTTCTCACCTATGGAATTGGTTGGTGGTCGCGCTAAATGCACTGGTAGAATCGGTAGAAGTTAGAATTCATGGGCTGGTCATTGAATTGGGTCCCAGTGGCTGAATGGTATACGAACTTGTCTTGTAACCAGAAGGTGCTGGGTTCGAGGTTCGGAGGTGGGTGCGTTTTGCCGATGAGTTGCAAACTAGGATGGATGGAACAGCTGTCCAGTACTCCCTGGTTTCCAATGGTTCTCTAACTGATCAATCCGTGGGCAAACTCGGAAAACAAACCTAATCCTTACAAATCAACTCCTGAAAATAAGTAATATTTGAATGAAACAAAAGTCAAGGATTTATAAAACTAGCTTATTAAATTTCAAAACTTCCTTTTCACCTGTTAACAATTTGAAAATATAAACGGTGTTATAAATAAACAAACAGTATGTATTTGAACAAAGCAAGGTTAACTCTGACAGCCCTTGACTTCAGCTATGATATTTTAACTTCACCTGTAAATGAATGACGCATATTGACGCTATTTGAAACAAAAGAAAACTGTGCCTATTCTACACTAGTGAACAAACAGTGAATAATAAAACAAATAAACAAAAAGTCTACTTATTTACCGTATAACAGAAATTTTAAGAATTATGAAGAGGAAAACAAAAAATTTAAAAATTGAGTTCTTCTTAACAGTGAAAGAGATTTTATAACTCAGAATTGTTGCCATAGATGAACTGGTACTTCCAAGTGTGCATGTTTTACACACTAATCAAAGTGCCCGATAACTTCAGTTGCAAATGCCTTTTCTTATGGAGGTAGACTTTTCAGAGTATTCTTCAGATGCCCTGTTCTAAGGCCTTCTTATTTCACTTAAGTAAACTTTTATTGGATTTACAAATTTAAATGTATTTACGCAAGAAGGTATATAATAGGGAGAGCTCACTTCATCCTAAATATATTTCCATCCTTGATTTACTCAGGCATACACACATAGTCAGTATGGAACACGATATCGTGTATGACCAGGGAACTGTTAATCATGAAAATGAATTTGTCTCAGTTCTCAAAAACTGAGTCATGTGTTTCACATCAATCTAATAATAAACAACAGAAAGTAGTCTACAGCTCCATTACATTTGAACACAACTGACAGTTGTTACAGCAACAAAATATGCATCAACTATACCAAATGATAACCTTCGTATAAAGGTTAAAGAAAAGTGATGGATAGGAATTGTTTACTTTTTAGCTTGTACTTTAACCAAGGCACTTATACTCCTCAAGCTTTGTGCACTTCTCATGTATTGAGTATTTACATGGATTTCGTCTGACGAACACACCAGAAAGCAGATAGACTTCACCTCAATGCTGCTCAAGAAAGTGAAGACGTAGTTGAGGAGGGAAGCAGATGTGGGTTCACACCATCATCTAGTTCAAGCAATCTTCAGGGTGAAGCTGAAGTCCCTTTAGAACAACTGGAGATAGACCATAATTCAAGTTCAACACTATGACACTGAAAGATGAAACTACAAAAGATACCCTCACTACAGACATCAGAGCAAAGTCAGACACACCACGTGGTATCACTGAGGAAATTTGCGTGGAAGAACATTGGAACTAACTTTCTAGAGGTGATGTACAAGGAAGCGTGTACAACTCTTCTAGGAAGAAAGAAAAAACAAGACAAGGAATGGCCGTCAACGGGCACCTACCTTGGAGCTAATGGAAGAGAGGAGGATGGTGATAGAGAAGATACCTCAATGCAAAGAAGGACAATAGAAGCAGAAGCTAAGTTCAGTGTTCACTGCAATGAATAGAGAAGCGAAGAAGAGTGCTAGGAAAGACCAGAGACGATTTTACGACACACTGAAAACTGAAACAAAACAGGTAGCAGGTAAAAGAGACCCCAGAATATTATGTCAGATAACGGGGTCTCTATCTAGGAAAAGATCAACGCACACGAAGAAGCCAATAAAAGATATTCAAAAGAACCTAATCAACAAGTAGCAGTAACAAAGAAAACAATGAGTTGATCACTTCAAAGGGTTGTTGAATCGACCGTCACCCCTAAATCGTCCAGAAAAACCACCAGCGGTGGGCACAGAGCTGCCAGTGGACAGCAGTTCTCCAACAAAAGCGAAAATCTCGAATGCAAAGAAACTGCAGAAGTCCGGAAAGGCGACAGAACCACATGGAATTCCTCAAGAAGCACTGAAAACAGATTCAGAGACTGGAGCGTATATGCTCGCATCGCTATTGCACAAAGTTTGACAGAAAGGAAAGGTACCTATTAATTGGATTGAAAAAGGCACCTTATCAAACTACCAAAGGAGAGCGACTTAGGCCTCTTCAAAAACTCGCGCGGAATCATGATCTTATCTGCGCCAGATAAAATATAAAGTCGTATCATTTTGGAGAGAATAAAAGATGCAACGGATGCAGAACTCAGCCCCACCGACCCGAACAAGATGGATTCAGGAAAGGCGAATCATGTGTTAATTAAATTGCAACTCCACGCATCATCATCATCATCACAGAGCAAAGCATAGAATGGCAGTCAAACGTGTACCTCAACTTCATCGATTTCGAGAGGCCTTCGACACTGTTGACCGAAAAGTAATTTGGAAACTACTTCAACACTATGGCATGCAGTGCTCAAATCTCTATCAACCTCATTCAACCACAGCTATATGACAGTAGTACGTGTCAGGTAATCCACAACGGAGAAATCAGCAAAGCCTTTGAAGCGAATATGGGAGCAAGAGAAGGCTGTTTACTATCACTGATGATATCCCTAATTGGCGTGGACTGGATTTGTGGTAGACTGTGGGTAGTAAGAAGATAGGAACACGATGGGTCGATCAGAAGGCTCTAGAACATCTGGACTTCTCGAATGATTTACGTCTAATGTCAAATAAATTCGAAAACCAACAAGTTGGAAGAAAAATCAGGGCTTCAAGGGAGAAAAAGGAGGTGATGAAGATAGCCAATCGATAACAACAACAACAACAACAAGCACCAACCACAATCAATGGAATAAATTTGAAAGACGTCACTTTCTTCACTTATCAAGGAAGCATCATTTCAACTACAGGTGGCGGCACAAATGATGTCAAAATTAGAATCGGAAAGGTAAGACACACCTTCGTCACTCTGAAATCAATTTGGAAATCTTCTGCACTCAGCATAAAGAACCGAAATTCGGAATTTCAACACCAATGTCAAGTCAGTTTTTCTAAATAACTCAGAAATTTGGCAAGTCACAAAAAGAAGTTCTAACTGGCTACTGCAGACTTCTATCAACAGTTGCTTCCTACCGATACTGAAGATGAGATGGCCGCAAAGAATTAGTAACAATAAACTCTCGGAACGAGCCAACTTAACAAATATAGCCGAAGAAATAGGAGGTGGATCGTACAAACGCTGAAGGGACTATTGGTTGACCTAGAGTGCCAGACCATCGCTCGAGTGGAACCTGAATGAAAAATAACGAGCTGGGAGTTCGACAATGACGTGGAGGAGAAATTATGTGAGTAAGAGGCGGAAACTTATGGGCGATTGTAGGGTCAGCTAAAAAAGACTGCAGAGAACAGGACAAAACGGAGATGTGATGTTGAAGCCCTATATTCCACTCGGAACCCAAGGGAACAATAATAATAATAATAAATAATTGGTATGCTTTTACTTCATGTTAGTTGATACTGTGTATAAATAACGTCAGGGTTATTTGCACGGACCGAAGGGACAAGATTATCAGCAGATACACTAATTAATTACAACTCATTTAACCAGAACAAATTTATTCATGCGACGGTTGGTGATCCTAACTAGTCTCTCAGAGTGAAGTGAATCCAATGGGACTCGAACCCATAACTAAATAACCGAAAGTCAAGTGGATTAAGCCAATGAGTAATATCGAGATTTTTAAAAAAAAGTAGAAATCCCTGAAGAAGATCATAATTTGATTAGCAATTAGAATCTCCTACTCCACAGGAATTTATAGTTTTACACAAATTAAAGCAACCAATCCAGGTGACTGTTAACCAGTCCATCATTACACTGAAATAAACGCTACCACCACGCTATTAATTTATGCCTGCCTTGTAGACATTTGAAAGAAAAGAAAGATATGATAACAAAACGCAAAAAGACAAAACTAACTTACAATTTTAATCCTATTTATATGTCTTTCAATATGTTCTTCAGCAATTTCGTCAGCTTTTTGAGAATAGGTCAACTGAGGCTCATCATCTTTAAGTACTACTAAGGGACTTAGATGTAACACATTGCCAACTAAAAATGTCTAAAATAATTTTTCGTCAATACTTATTAGCCAAAAGAATAATAATAAAGATTTACATCAAATGTATCAAACATCTTTGATAGACGATGTTCAAGTTTTTCTTTTAGATGATAATTGAGTGATTGAATTTTCCCTCCTGCAAATCTTGGTGCAAACTGAAAAAAAGATAATTATAATAATATTAATAAAGCTTTTTGAAAAAATTAAAGTCAAACTTTTTCCATAATTTCCTCGCAAAATGTATCTACCAATTGTCCTATGCAAGTGAGGATTGCATTGTATACTAAAGGAATGAATTATTTTTAAAATTACTTACAATCATCTGAAAGTTGAAGAGGTTCAAAACCTAGAAGCTTAGCTGAATATTCTTGTGCTACCTCCACTGAGATGCCTGATGGTTGTGTTTTCTCCTCCTTCTGTTCCATGTATATGATATATAGTATATAGTGTGGGAGACTTGTCTCGTATTCTGAAGAGATTATATAAACATACAGTTTAACAGACAAAAGCACACAAATAACATTCTTTATACATTAAAAAAAAAAAAAATTTATACAACAAGAAGTCCCTATGAACCACCACAGGTTAAATGTAGAATATACACGCAAAAATGAAAATTCCATACTTGTACCGAAAATTCTGTGTGGAATCAAGCTATGATCAAAAAAAAATTTTTTTTAAATAAATCATAACCACGGCAGAAAGAAAAGAATCATAATGAAGGGAAATATATGGGAGAAAGAATAATTACTTACAGAATAATAAGAATTTAATGGATTTTTGGAATTATCAGGAGTAAATGCATCGGAGACATGAAGACCGATTCTCAGTCATTCCATCAACTTCATGCATTTATTCCCCTTGATGAATTTGAATAAAGCAAGAACAGCAACAGTGGTTTGTGCAGAATAATATGGTACCATCATTTATTTCGTCGGCTTCTCACCAGCGGCTTACAGCCTAAACAAATTGTGAGGTTTACGTACAGAAAAGTTTTAACATACTTGCAAATTTTACATGTTGTCAGTTGACAGAAAGTTCCACAATTAGTGAAAAGTGCTCAGAAAATTGTGCTTATATAGTTTTTACACAGGCAGTTCAAGTCAAAATAAATGTATGCATACAATGGTAAAGGAGTCACGTAACAAAGTCGAGAGGTGAGTAAGATGATGAGTAACTAATAAATTTGGTAACGATGTACTGAGTTCAAATCACATCATAGAAACAAGAGACAAGCAATATTACAGATTATAAAAAAGAGGGGTGAGGTTAAAGACAAAGATTACGTAATCAGAGTAGGGAATAAAGACATCCAGTTACCATGGCAAGGAAAGACTAATAACTGCTTCTTTCTGAACACATAAATCTGGTTTGAAGCGTTTGATAGAAATTGCTTCGGCAAACTTGAAGAGAGTGGAGCTCCTTTGTCTATTAATAATTTTAAAGGATTTCTCGATTTCCACCTCATGACCCGTGTCGAGGAGATGCCTGGCGATGGCACTGTTTAAAGAACTTGTTCCCTTTAGATGTAAGCTTTTTGGTACATGTTCAGAAAATCGTAGATATGCTCTTCTTTTTGTCCTTCCAATGTAACTGCTCCCGCGGATACATGTAAATTTGTATATGCAGTTGGAGTTCACATGAGAAGGATATCTATCGATTTTTGATTGCACCAAAGAGCAAACTGTTCGATAGACGGGAACGAGCTTAGCTGCAGGATAGGCTATAGCTAGTGATGTACTCAGCCTTCGGTTGTTCATCGCTGTAATGTTCTCACCTTTATAATCAAGCTGAAAGTAGATTGGCTTTTTTTCCACTGTGATTTGTTTTACATTTTTGACTTCAGATCTTCCATACTTGTTGATGAACCTTTGAGGGTACCCATTGCTCTTCAATGTCTTTTCAAGAAACTCAAATTCTTCCTCTAATTTCTCTATAGAGCATATTCTTCTCGCTCTATAGTACAGAGTCTTGACTAGACCGCGTTTAAAGCTATTTGGACAAAAGCTATTGAAATGTAAGTAATGTCCTTTCCATGTAGGCTTTCGATAAATTGACTTTTGAAGACTACCGTCTTCTAGGCGTTCTATGGCAATCTCGAGGAAGTGAAACTTTCCGTCACTTTCATGTTCCATAGTAAACTCAATATTGCTGTGTGCATCATTGAATAATCCGAGTAAGTGTGAAGCATGACTTTCATTGTTGCACACTATAAATGTGTCGTCAACATATCGACAGTAGGAATTTGTTTCGTCGATTGCATGCTTCAACTTTGTTCTTTCAAGGTTGGACATGAATATATCTGCTAAAACAGGGCTAAGTGGACTGCCCATAGCTACACCATCTATTTGGCGGTAAAGAGTGTTGTCAAATTGGAATTGCACATCCATGGTACACATAAGGAGTAGGCGTTTGAATTCCGACTCTGGGAGTGGGAGAAGATCAGACTGCTGACAAATGATCTCAATAGTTTCGTTGACTGGAATCATTGTGAACAAGGAGGTTACATCAAATGACACCATGAACTTATTTAAAACGTTCATGTGGTTCACACTTTCCGAGAAATGAAATGAGTCCCTCATAGTGTGCACGCCTAACCGTTGACGAATAGGTTCCAACTTCTCTGCAAGCCAACGTGCCATCTTATGTTGGGGCGAGTTGATCATCGAAAGTATGGGTCTCAGGGGGACTTGTTTTTTGTGTATCTTCGGAACGCCATACATGTGTGGCAAGCGGGACCCTCGCGGTTTCAAATCATTGTACGTATTGTTGTCAATCAATTTCTTCTTTAGAAGATCTTTCAGTGAGTTTGTGATACGTTTTTCGACTGCATCAGTCTTATCTTTCTGGCAATTGTCAACTTTGAACCTCAACGGGTCATTTAACACAGCTTTCATCTTTGCAATGTAGTTCTCTCTATCCTGAGCCTTTGTCAGGTCGCAATATAACAATTCTGTCACTATTCTTGAGAGCTTTCAATGCTCTTTGATGCTCATCAGAAAGGACTTTGGAATATGACATTGGAGAAATGAGGTATTGATTTGCAACGTCAACCAGCTTAGATTTGAACCAGCTCTTCTTGTCCTCATCAACTGGGGTAAGGTCATTCAGCTGATAGAAAAGGTTTTCGAATCGAGCTGCGACATCGGTTCTTTTGACAAAGTTATTCGGGATATGGAAGTTAAATCCGAGGGAAAGCGCTTCCATTTCAATGCGGCTTAAATTCAAACTCGACAGGTTATACACAAACTCCTCAGGATTATCTGGGAAGACGTCATATATTTTCTCCTTCGTCAGGGATTTCGAAGGAGTTCTATAAAAATTCGCAGATGGTTTCTGTTGAAGCTCTTGGATAAAATTAATGAATTTGATTCGGCATACTATATTTAAACTGTTCACGACACCATCATCTTGAATGCTTATTTTTCTAACTACTTAAAACTCTTGCGTAATTCCGTATGTTATTTTGTTTCTATGTACACCCTGAGCACAACTCTTTGATCAAACTATTCGTGTTATTACGTAACTCTTCTTTAACAATCGTTTGTGACAACTCATCACTACTGTTACTACCCTCTTATATCAACATCCAATTCATCTGAACTTACTAATTGTATTTTCGTTTGGCAAATTTAATGTACACACACACACATACAAAACAACCATATATATTTGCGATTGTACAGCTATGAAAATGAATTCGCCGAAAAGAGATTCTTCGCTGAACTACTGGTCTTCTGTCTATTAATGTTCGAATGGGGATTTTTCATGAATTTAAAAAAAACTACCAGTTTAATTTACTCGACAGATAATACCGAGTTGTACTATTTAAACTAGAATTTATGTACCAGAACAAGTTAGGAATTTGAAGAGGTGCAGAGTAATCTGGATTAGTGACTACATTTACATGTTTAGTCCGTGAGGTAGTTAATCACTCATATTTGAACCTGCTATCACCAAGGTTCTCTTTGTCTAGAAATGTCAAATGAGAAAGTATTCCATTGTAATCAGATAAAATGTTATAAATAATCATAGTTTACAGTGTAGCAGTGGAATCGAGAACGAGTGTTCCGTCCTATGTAAAACTCGTCAGCTGAACATAAATCCTAGTTACCACCTAGGGAATAACATCACCATGGGAATATGTGGTGGTACTCTAACAAATAATGAGTGAACATGTGATAGACGCATCTACGTCCCTAACTGACTATGAGCCGTAGATCAGCGTCGTAGACAATTTCCACATCTCTCGTATTTTCAAGATATTGTTTCCTCATTAATAACAAATATTCTTTAGCAATCCGAATGTAAGATACGATATCCTTTTAAATATTTGCTATACGACCCTCGGCTAATTTCATTGTAGGATGTCTAGTAGCTGCGAACGGAACACTAGTAACCAGTATGTCATTGCGGAGTAACGAAGTTACATTACAAGCAATCAGAGGTAGACCTACTGATTAAGTTGACTAGGAGCTGGGAATATTTACAGATAGATTCGACAGATTTTGATAGCCGACTCCAGTGCCGGCTATGAGAAGGCAACAGACTAGACCGATAGCTGCTATCTTGACATGGTGGTTCAGCTTGCATATCCCAATGAACCAACGAGCTACACTGGCTGGAACTAATGTTCCCAGAAGACCTACCATGCCAGAATCGTTGTTAGGATGGCGATTAGACAAAAAGAAGTTAGCAGCATAGTTTAAGATGTTTATACTGTGCTAGGGGTCTGTGGGCTAAGTTGTACTGTCGGGGAACAGGGATGTAACAGCAGTAAGGCGCTTCCATCAGAAGACTGGAATGCCAGTTATGCTGCCTCACCACTCTGGAGAAGGGGTTAGAAAAGGTCGACCTCCTGACTTACTCTACGGCGGTAAGTTCTTAATATGGACACAACTCTAATAACCAGTTCAAACAGGCCGTGTGTGACCAGCCTCAAGCAGCTGTTCCCTGGGCTCTGCGGTCACGCAACACTAATTCTCTTTATGTTTCAGGTATCCCAAGAAAAATCTATTTCCACAGTGTGGGAGCCCGGGAAGTAACAATTACCCACATACTTCCCGAAGTACACAAAGCTCTACTCATCATCATACACTTTATCTACGTTACCGTCATCTCGCTTTCATCCTACAGTTAATAATATTCAACAGGCAGGTCTTCCATCTTTTCCTCACTCTACAACCAATAACAGCGGGGACAGCCGGAAACAAACTGATGGTCTCTTAAAGCGACATTACCTACTTCATATTGGGGCATTTAACGTCAGGAGCTTCTGCCAAATCGGACAACAAACATCACCAGTCAGAACTCTGGCATCTCGAGCCATGCATGTATATTGCATTTCAGAGACAGGCATTACAAGACCCAAGTATGGTTACTCAGTTAACCCCACCTGGCCAACACGGCAAATCTGAGAAATTCACCTTACGGGTGTTAGATTTTTCGGTTAGAATAGAATAGAGTTAGAAAGTAGTTGTAAAATCTTCGTGTTCAGCTTTTAGATGAAGGGGGCTAATTCCATCATAGATTGATTTCACTGGGCAAAAAGCATAGTGACGAAGTATTATTTGCTGATGACATTTCGAAGACATTTTATTGCGCGTAATCATATTAAGGCGGTGAAGTGGAGTGAGACTCGAACCAGGAACCCTTTGTCTGAGAGTCGACTTAAACCAAAAGAACATTTCTCCAAAGATGGTGGGGAATTATCAGTAATAATAAGGCTAGGCTGGGAAGCTGCATTGATTCGGTTGGCTAGAATGCGCCACGCATGGTATCAGCCATGTATATTGTTTGGCTGGGATTCTCGAGATGTTAAAGACCAATAGTTGGAGACTGTAGGTGAAATGACTCAAAACTGTTAACAATGGCGCAGATGTATCCCCTCTACATTCATTTAATCCCCATACTTCTTCACCTAGTTACTTTTTCTCCTGTACGTTTTCTCCTATTGTGGTTTCATTGAACTTTTTTCTGCTTTTACGAAGTATGGAGACTTGAAATGATGCACTTCTGTGGGAAATTCAGTGCTGGTGTTTATCCATTTTACATTCCGCATCTGTTTACACTACCTGTTGGTGTACCAGTCACGAATAAATCACCTCGTAAATACTATACAGTGCTGTGAAATGTTTGAGATACAAGTATGATAATAATGTAAAGTTTGAACTCAAACTAACAGGGTGTACAGACGGTATTCTAGAAGTTATTTCTCCTAACCTACAGTGTGCACTCTTTTTAACAAGAACAGTTTTAACATTAACCCATCCTTAAGAGTCACATACGCCTTTGACACTAAAATGGCTGACTCATTGAGTTTTCAAAGTAGAACTATAAAGAGAAGTATAACAGTCCTATTTACCACACTTCAAATAGCACACAAAGGTACAGAAAAGAATTCGAAAGAAATATAGTTAACGGGGATGTATAGGCGAAAGAATAACTGCATGGAGAAAAATGAGGATCTAGTGGATCTCGGATATCACAAAGAATGAATGCATCTGCGCCAATGAGAACAATTTTGAGTCATATCACCAACACTCTAAATTCATTGCTTCTCAGCGTCTTGAAGACCTCAACCAAGCACTCTAAACCTTTCTACATGGTCCAAACCAATAGTCAAGGACTTCATAGAGTGACGCCATACACGGACTTAACCACTCCTAACACTTCTCCAACATTATAATGTCAGCTAACACTGCTGGACGAGGAAAACAACTGCTTGGTATGAGGACCGCGTTTCCTAGCTGAAGCTTTACAACCTTATGGACTGACTTACCCTCTTTAGCCATAGCTACGTCTGGTCTCAATATTACTCATTATATTATACCAATTAGCATGAGGGAAAGAACGCAAATACCTGTGGTCAGAGACAGGCTCTTAAAGTCTTCCGATTTCAACAGCAAAATCTCCAAGTAATAAAGGACAGAGCTCATCGCAACGTGGTACACACAACCATGGATTGGCAACTACGTCTCCGTACACTTATTCCCCCTTATGAATTTGACAGTAGAGTTTATCACGTTTGTCAGTGAATTAAAAACTCCATCTATTCTTAATATAAGAGTACTAATGAATCACGTACTGATATTACACTTTCAGAGGAATATAAAAAGAATCCACACAAGTCGGGTTACTCAGGATGGAGTGAATTTGTTCATCAAAAATGGTACGTTATAGCATAGTCTAGAAACTACAACAGTGGCCAAGTCAAACACGTGTACAAGGACGTCTCCCGATAAGGTTGTCAAAAGGAAAAATTAGATGAACCATAAGCTGAACTTTCGAGCACCTCTGTAACAACAGAAATATTTTTCTAAAGTGATGTGTAAGGTAAGGCGAGGTCGTTCAACAAGTTTCCCACTACCACTTCTGTATACAGTGTAAGCTCTTGCTATATACAAATAAAACCCCAAATTGTGTATACAGATGCTGTTTATCCAACTCTCTCCAATACTGTGGCCTTAAACCTCGATTGAGACTGCACTTAACTGATTTTCGGAGCTTATCCATATATTTCCGCAGGCTAAGTTTTTAAATTGGAATTTTTACAAGCAAATACGACAAATTAATCTAACTTGCATAGAACTATCAGACATATTAATGGGAATACATAATAGACTCACAACAGCAATGGATAGCGGTACAACAGAGGATGGAGGCACAAACGGATTACAGCGCTTGAAGGTCACTTATTCGTATTGTAATTGGCGGAGTTACGTCTGCATATCCAAATCAAGCTAGTATAAGCCAATTTGATTTCTTTGTGCTCGCCTCTTAATTGTGAGGTATAGGTTCCTGGGCGATAGTAACACCACCGAGTAATTTTTTCAACTCCTCACCGTTGCGGATGGCCAATTGCAAGTGACGAGGGATGATACGAGTCTTCTTGTTGTCGCGCGCGGCATTGCCAGACAATTCGAGTACTTCGGCGGCCAGATACTCGAGGACAGCCGCCAGGTAGACGGGTGCTCCAGCACCGACACGTTCAGCGTAGTTTCCCTTGCGTGGAAGACGATGTACACGACCAACTGGGAACTGAAGACGAGCACGAGCAGATCGAGTCTTGCCTTCGCTCGAGACTTTCCACCTTTGCCGCGACCACTCATGATTTACGTTAGAGCGAGAAACGTGTAGAACTTTGCCCGGTAAACTTCTGCTTAGCTCATCCCGCCACTCGACTGTCGTAGCTTTGGTTGACTCCAAAAGGAGTAGTGCTGGGATTAACTATATGTGGTTTGTAGTATGAGGTGTGTTAAGACTGCTACTACTGTGAATGGAGTTGATCCTTTCACCAGTTAGTCCTCCAGTACCGTCGTCAAAAGAAAAGAGATAATAATAATAGTAATAATAGATATTATTAGTGAAGTTATTCAGACTAACAGATAGAAAACGTAAAACAGACAGTTGATTAAATTTGAAGTTGATATATATATATCAGTAATAATAATAGGTGTAGTTAGAGTTGTCAGGAGAGTAAGACAGGAGAGAATGTAAAGAAGTAAAACGACAATAAGTGGTGGTTCCGTTGCGCGCATACACTTAAGTTGCCTGTCAAAGTATGTAGCAACTCCCTCCCTTCCTTATAATTCCCGTCTCTCCTGACCAGGACCATATCGGCTGTACCGATCTCGTTGTCGGCGATAGTGGGCGTTAGCCAGGTTTCGGTGAGAATGATTATTTTAGGGTATAGGTGTGACTGGAGATTTGAGTTCACTACTTTTCCTCTCAGTCCTCTCACATTGCTATATGAGCAGCTGAAAGTGAGTCCCACAACCTCAGCGTGTTATGGGGTAGTTGACGTTAAGTTGTCTGCTGGTAAAGGACTTCATGTTAGGACTAGTTGACCGATTCCGATGGAACCGGCCCTTTGAAGCTTTTTCCCATGGATTCATGTAGGACACTTGGGTGACGGACTGTTATTCTCAGTACCTAATCGCTCTAGTGTCACTGAGGCTTGGGGACGTGTTAAGGCTTCAGTTTGCTGCCCCGTTATGGTTCGAGGTCTGCTTTCGCAGCATCGGATGTGTCCTTGCATTTTTTCCTTAGTCTCATACCACCGTTGAAGTACTATGGCCAACTACTTCTGGGAGTTGAATTTGACACTTATCAGCTTTGGAGAACTAATCAGTGTCAGATGTGCGGGGCGAGGTAGTTGGAGAATGGAAACTGCTCCAGAAGCGCCAAAGGTCGTCTGAGATGACAGCCATCTCCATTGCTGTACGTCATGCATGTGTTTTTACAAACAGTGGCAGTTTCCAGCTCGGGAACACCGTGTGCTAACATAGAGGTAGAAGGCATCAGTTATAATGATAATAATAATAAATATTCTCATTCTTGTACATGAGGGACGCCAGTTTACAGGCATCATCAATTCGATAAATTACACACACGATTAGTAAACATAGTTAGTAGTGACAACATAATAAGGTACAGATTTATTCCTACATATGTATGACACACCAATTGTACAGGCATGGATAAGTATTATTTAAATTACATATTCAAATTACATGATTTAAGGTTAAATTACATGGTTTCTGTCATCTTGTCTTTAGTTTGTGGGAAAAATCTGATAACTAGTGATTCAATGGACCACATCAAGAAATATAGAGATATTGTCTTCGCATTAACAAAAAGCCGAAGTCTGTGTTGGCTGGATTACAGATACTTGGGAAAATAAATAAAGCTTGAAGTCAATTCCCTCACGCAACAATAAAATCCATCTTTTAATAATCGATTCTCGCTTTATGGACATCCAATATCCAATATCCTGATTACGAGCTAGTATAAACCAGTGATTTCTTTGAGCTCGCTTCTTGATTGTAGGGTAGAGGTTCCAGATCTTCGGTGAACTTATGCATAGTAAATCCCGCCACTCGACTGCTTTAGCTCTGGTAGACTCCAAGGGGAGTGGTGCGAGGATTGGTCAGGATGTGGCTTGTAGTGTGCAGTATGTTAGGACTCAGTTGCTGCCGTGAATGGAGTTTGACCTAACACCCGTTGGTGATTCGGTGTAGTCATAAAAGTAGAATAGTAATAATAATAATAGGTTGTAGTGTGGATAATATAGGTTGAGATAAGTGAAATAATAAAGGTGACCAAAGAAAAGATAGAGCAGTCGGTACAGTGAGAGAAGACAGGACGGGTCGTGGGGATTTAGCTTGTATGCTTATCCATTGACAGTGTGCTTTCAAATTTTAAGAGGATAAGCCATTGAGACACAAACCATGCATTTCTGCATGGTTGTCCAGCTTCCGCTTAAATGTCTCCACAGATGGCGCTGTAGTTACGGCCGCCGGTAAAGCGTTCCAGAGACGGCAAACTCGAAGCGAGAAGAAATGTGAACGCACTCGAGTCTCTGGTCTCTGGTGTGCTATCCTTATCGGGTTACCTCGTGGAAGCCTATGATCACTTAATGGCAGGATGCTTTTATTAGGGTGGGCCTGGTCATTTAAGATCTTATAGACGGTGATGAGGTCTCCCTTGTGACTACGGTAACTAAGTGTGAAAAGACTTAATTTCTTCAGTCTTTCCTCATATGATTTGTTGCGGAGGCCGATCACCCATTTTGTCGCTCGTCTCTGGACACTTTCTAGAATGTTAGCATCCCTTTTGAGTAGCGGAGGAGCAGTGATATTATGCACCTCAAGGAGTGGCCTCACGTATGTCTTATACAACCTTAAGAATAGTTTGGGAGTAAGAGCTCCCAGCTGCCTATGCATAAAGTGTAAAGTTGCGTAAGCTTTGGCGACGTCCCTCGTGTAATTTACGCTGGTGTCTAGCTTCTCTGTTAAAATAAGACCTAGGTCGCGTTCTGATGGCACACAACTCAAGTTCTGGCCACCAAGGGTGTAATTTGCACTCTGTGACAAGCCGGAATGAAGTTTCACTACTTTGCACTTCTTTAGGTTGAGAGGCATTCCGTTAGCCAGAGCCCAGTTTCCCAGAGTTTGCAGGTCAGCCTGCAATCTGTCGGAGTCTTCCGATGAGTTTATTGCTCTCCCAATCTTTACGTCGTCAGCGTAAAGAAGCGCAGAGCAGTTCAGTTGACAGGGCAGGTCGTTGAAAAAAATCAAAAACATCAATGGCCCTAAGATAGAACCCTGAGGAACCCCTGGTGCCGAGGTGTGCCAGGATGATCGGATGCGGTTGACTCTGGTGCAGAATTCTCTCTCGCTGAAGTAATCTTTCAGCCATGCGAGAAGTGCTCCAGAAACACCCGCCTTGCTTATTTTGTGAAGGAGCAGACCATGGTGAACTGTGTCGAATGCTTTCGCAAAGTCGAGAAAGATCACATGGACTGGTACCTTCACGCCCCAGGATAGTTTCCAATCGTTCCAAGCTAGCAGAAGATTCGTCACACAGGATCTTCCCCTCCTGAAACCGTGCTGTGCTTCATGGAGTAGGTTAGTCCCGTCGAAGTATTTTCTCATGTGGTCGTCAATGAGACTTTCCAATATCTTCGATATCACTGGGAGTAGCGCAACTGGTCTGTAACTGGTCGCGTTCTGCCCATCACCACCCTTGAAGATAGGGGATAGGATGGCTCGTTTCCATTCACATGGGAGT